TAATAAGCGAAGGGTCGTTTGAATATTTGGTGTAGACTGCAGGGTCGTCCGTAACCACACATTGAGACAATCCAAAGTTACGGAGAGAGAAGCGACCCCATAAGTTGTTGAGACATAATTTGGCTTGCGTCCTCTTTCCTTTATTGACCTTCATTTTCTCCCTGTCGATGATGATACCAAACTTTTCTTTGCACTCCTTGATGAAGTTCTCTTCCTTCTGTCTGTCTCCTTTGATGTCGTTGTCAAAGCCACTTGCGTGAATTTTTTGTGCCATAAATTCACGAATGTAAGGACGAAATAGGTTGTCGTCATAATTTTTATATTCCAAGACTCTGAAGACTTTGGTGACCACGTATCCTTCCTTCAATGCTTCGTTCAACTCAATTGATGTACATGTTGACACCCATCCACGTTGTTCGTCTGTGTGTTTGCAGCTGTAGTTCTCATTCACATCACCATTTGGATTTTCCTTTGCACAAGTGGAGCAAAGGGGGAATAGTAGTCGTTCATCGTCCTCTCCAATTTTCATAGGCAACACTGGTATGTCAATGCTGCGTGGAGGTATCACAAAAACTTTCAGAAGAGCCAATTCATACGTGTTGTCAGAGGGTTTGGTCCATTTGACGTCGTTGTTCAAAATATGCACTTCAGGGTGACCAATTGGGTAACGTGTTGACATGTTGATGAAGGGGTACAGGGAGGTCACATCATAGTAGGAAATTTTTTGCCCCTCCCCCGTTTTGTGGAATAGTTTGAGTGGCCCGGTTCTCCCCCCAAAGAATGCCGATCGAATATCGATCGGTCCATTGTCCAGATAATTTTTAAACTTTAACCTCATAACTCTATCCCTTGAGAGCATCCCCCTTATTTCACACTCCCAATAGACTTCCACTTCAACTCCAAAGCTTTCAATAAATTCCAAACGTTTTTCATCCCTTTCCCTTTGAATCCCCGCTGTAATCCCATTGGGAAGTCTTATTTCATCATCAGGAAAGCATTTTTTACACCCATGCCAACAACACCCATTGACCTCGATAACCAATTTCTTTTCTTCAACCCACCCATCTACCCTATAATTCCCAAACCTCTTTTCCCCTTCTTTAGAATAAGCATTACGTATTTTCACATTGTGTTCCTCAGCGTACCAGGTGAGAAATCGAAGAGCAAGCAAACTCTGGTTGTCTGCGTTGTCATAGCCCTTCTCTGGGACAATTCCAAGGTGTTGAGCTTGTAGATGATTTGTTCTAAAGTGTTTCATGCAAGCGCTGGCGATTGTCATTGCTTCCCTCAGCACATCCAATCCATTTGAAACTTCCAAGAATTCGCGCCGAAATGCCACCAGTGCAGCCATAAGAATTTCCACATCATTGGTACAATATGATGCCAAGGATTCATCCAGATTGAAAGGCTCATCCTTGTGTTCTTTATACCATTTATCAAATTGAACTCTCTTCTCGGGCATCATACCATCAGCCAGATAGTCATCCTTGACCGGGAAAATTTCCTTACCATAATTTTCCGGCCTATTTACCATGTGTGGAAAGAAAGGTTTGTCCTCTACACTAAGTGCAAAGGCAGGGACCAAGGAAGCAAGGGACATGGGCATTAAATTAAATGTGTCCCTAAAAATTACCCAATTCTTTTTACCAACTTTTACCTTCATTTCATATAACTTATTACCTTTTTTAATCATGTCTGGGGTCAGCCCTCTAAGGAACAATTCCTTAAAAACTAATACCATATCAAATCTACCCCCAAAGTGCGAGAAGGCAACTGTATCTGTCACGGAAGAATCGATAATCCATGACACAAACTCTTCTAAGGGATACTCTGTGACATTTTGAAGGTCAACGGGTGTGTTTTGGAAAGGTCTCGTTGAAAAGGTTAAAGTCCTATGTTCCCCACAAACGCTACAATCAGGGTTAGGTCCGTTATTGATACACCCGGGACAATTTACCTTTACCCCTATAAAGTTAACATCGTGAATTTTACCTTTTTCTCCATCCCTATATTGCATGGTTTCAAAATCAAAGGCGATAATTCGGTACGCCTTTAGGGGTTTAATGACAAGGGGTTTAATGTAACAGCCGCGTTTGGGGTCGTGATAACTACCGCACGTAGTGCAATAGCGTTCGGAGCATACATGACCCTCCCTACCATTCTTATTATTTACATTAACATCCCAGATAACCCCACATTTTTCACATTTTTTGGAGGAACTACAGAAATTTGAGGTGATATGATGGGCAAAACAATTCTCATTCTTAAAGTCTTTCCCACACCCATTACAACGTTTAAAGAAATCATCGATATCCTTACAAGGAAACCCGGGGCCAACTCTTGAACAGTTAGGACATCTAGATTTACAAGAAATTGAATGATTTGATTTCCTATTATAAACACTTTCACAGGATAGGCAATAGAGTTCGCCAAAAAGATCGCTAGCCCTACGTACCCCGTCAAAGTGTTCCTTATTATAAAACAAAATTATAGGTATATTAAAATTATCGGGGCCATATTTATAAATAGGTTTTTCCCCCAAATCCCCAAAAATAAAAACTTTAAACCATCCTTTATTCAGTAAATTCCAATATTCAACCACAGAGGGAATCCATTCTTCTGCATCGTAGCTGTCCTGGTCAAGAGGTGCGCCAACACTTTCCATAAGATCCATTGAGTCTTTCTTGAATTGATTAGTCATCCCTCTACGGCTATGCATGTAGTCGTAAAATTTCCATTTGGGCCAGAGACATGTTGCATAAATAAATGTAGCTACCAAGGAATAGAAAAGACAATAGTTGTCGTCGTTGCGAATTTTAATTAGTGATTTGTCGTTTACTTTAAGTTGTTTTGATGATGAATTTCTTCCACGTCCGTGCACTTTACGGGGAGTGTTAATTCGTTGAATAGTGGATACCGATACTAGAAAAGGTGCCCCCCATAACATACCATTATCTTGTTTCTTACTTTGGGCAACCTTGAGGAATTGATTCAAGATTGAATCAATCGTGTTTGAGGTGATCTGACGAACCGGAATCCAGACGTCAGAGTCTAGGTTCTGACTAGATATTATACACCCTAGTTGGTCAGCTTCAACCCCCCATTGTCGACTCTCTTCCAGAGCCTCGTCAATGGTATTTTGGAAGATCCCTTCTAGAAGGGATTCAGGGTCATTGGGGAGGTCATAAATTAGGAACCTAGTGGAAACTTTGGACGAATTAAATTTTCGGTTAAACTTGGTCTCATGACCAAGCTTCTTTACATGGGGGTTATCAGTTTGGGAACCTAATAGATTAGAAATGGAAAAATTCTTAAATTTTTTGGGTGGAGGAGGAAACATTTTTAAAAAGAGTAAAAGAAGTTTTGTTTTGTCTCGAAGAAGCTGGTGTTGAACAGTAGAATGATTTTTCCAGTTAAAATCAATCTATTTTTATACTTCCGTTCTAGCTCCTCCTATTAAAAGGATTTTCAAAATTTAACAGTTGGATTTTTTAAGAAATTTCCTAACAACGGATTAAAATTTTTAATCTAGGTTAAAATTTTTAATAATAACCTTGAAAAATTGACCTAAATTTAGAAATTTTATAAAGTTTTATTTAAGAGGGGGTAATCTAGTGTCGGAGTTGACAAACGAGAGATAAAACAAGTAGACAGCAATGTAGGCGTTGGTGATAGATTGGAGCAGACGAAGGAAATCAGCACAATATTTTAATATTTTTCCCTATTTTTATCTCTATTTATTCTCAATTTTTATTACTTCACCTTTTTCCTTTATTTCTATTCAAACTTTTATTTTCACTATTTAATCCCTTTATTTATTTTTCTATCTTAAAAATTTTATTCATTAAAATTTTTAATTTCTTTTGTCACAAAAGAAATATTTAGGTTAGGCTGACCGGAATTGAAAAGAAAGTTGAAATTTTTTAAGAAAAGGGAAATTTTTTAAGATGACCCAGAACTTTTAAAAATTCAAAAGAAAAGATTTAAAAATTGAAAGAAAAAGGAAAAATTTTTAAGATGACCTTAATATTTTTAAAAAATTTTAAGAAAATACAAAAGAAAAAGGAAAAGTTTTTAAGTTGACCTACAAATTTACAAAAGAAAATTTTAAAAAATAAAGATGTTCGCACACTGCGCGAACAAAAATACAAAAGGAAAATTTAAAAAAATTCCGAAGAAAGGAAAAGTTTTTAATCTGACCTACAAATTTTTAAAAAGAAAACTACACGCACGCTGCGCGAAAAAATACAACAGAAGAAATCAAAAGAAAATTTCTGAAAAGGAAAAAAGGAAATAAATATTAAAAATTTTTGGGGGAAAGGGATCTAAACCTTATGATCTTACGGGTCCCTGAATTGGTACCGGATGTCCTAATTAGTGTACTAATTACATGCTTTTAATTAGGGACTAATTACATGGAAATAAGGGTAATTACATGGAACACTTTTTCTTATATCAGTTATCACTGATAAAACCCATTGGGTTGATACAGGATGTCCCTAAACCTTTAGGGTGGGCTTAATTAATTGGTTAATTACATGGAGCTAATTAGGGATTAATTACATATTCTTATATCAGTTATCTGTGATAAGACCCCTTGTGATGGTATGAGATGCCCCTAAACCTTTAGGTTGACTTTAATTAGTTGACTAATTACATGGAATTAATTAGGGATTAATGTTGCGGACCCCTCTGCCCCTGACGACTCGGGGGTTGGACTAACTACTGTGAATGTTCACCCCCACCACAATTACTATATCAGGCTTTAATGTTTCTTTTTGTCAATTTTAAAAATTAAATTTTTAATTTTTTAAAGTTTTTCTGATTCTTCTACTTTATTTTCTTCTTGGCATTTAACACAAACAATTCTACATTTTACTCAATCTTTAATTGGATTTTGTTTAATGTTGCTAGCAATGACGTAAAAATAAAAAAAATAAAAATACAAGCATAGACCTCGCTAAAAGACTTGGAGGCTTCCTAAAAACCATATAGTATAAAATGAGGAGTACCCCAAGAAGTATCGTGTAAGACACTCTAGTTTTAAAAACAATTTTACTAAAAGAACTCTATCATTGAGGCAAGGGTTATCTTTTAGGGAGCTGTCTAAATATATCAATTTTTACTTTTAAAGGTATAATGTCCCTGTTTTTATATTTTTATTGTTTGGACATATTTTTGGTTATTTTTTGTTTGGTCCACTCTATCAACATGGATTAGTTGAAGAGAACCGTGTGGGGGGAGATTGTTGTTGCTCTTAAGAAAATTTAAGATTTAAAAAACAAAATTATATTTTCTAAAAATGTATAAAAGAAGTTTAAATTTAAATTAATGGAAAAAATATTTGAGTTACCAACATTTTCGGAAAAAAACTAAAAACTTTTAAATAGTCTGTTTATGCTGTATTTTTGGTTATGTATAAAGTTATAAATTAAGTCCGAGTTAACAAATATCTCGTTATAATGAAATTTTTTTGGTCCCATGGAGAGTCTCTTATATAGAGGTTTGACCTGTATAAAGTCATTCTATAAGGTAGATATTTTTCCTTTTCTTTGCTTTTTAATTTAATAGGGGTATTCTTCTAATTGTTAAACTCTAAAGTAGAGTAAGTCGAGTACCGAGTAATTGGGAAAAAACCGAGCTCGAGTAATCCGAGTTTGAAAAACCCGAGTTCGAGCTCGAGCTCAACTTTTTAGGCCGAGTTCGAGTTCGAGTAGTCGAGTAATCGAGTATTTTTTATAAAACAGTATTGTAAGGAAGGACTTTATCCCGAAGGTTAAAGAGCAAAGAGATTGTGTATTTCCATTAAATGATTTTCCCATTAAACACATTTCCGCCCATTTATTGCTCATATATTTAATCCTTTTATTTTCCTTTGTAATTGGTTCAGTTGATTGTTATGTTTGGTCGGAGTTAGTAAATATACATTTTATTGTTGGTTTTATTTATATGTATTTTCCCTTTGAATAAAGACACTGTTACATCTCTGTGTTAGGTAATATCTGTGCCTCGGCAAGCCAGAGGACTTGATCAACCCTTTAAGCTTCCCGATAGGATTTAGGTTTCTCTTATATTGAAGTCCACCAAATACCCCAAATGGAATGGCCCATGCCAGCACGTTCCACAAAAGGCGTGCTGTGTTATTGGTAGCACCGGATGGTTGCGCGTCTTCGCGACATTCCATTGGCCTGGGCGGCCGGTAGACAAAAATTTGGAGATAGATTGATGAGGGACTAACTCTTCGCGCGCGCGTGATTGCTTCGGCAAGACAGACTCTCGAGAGAAAATAAATAATTAAATATAAACTAGATAAAAGGGCTTTAGGTAAAATAAAAGAACAACCATAAAGTAGATTACCGGTCAAATAATATAAAATATTAGCTCTAAATAAAATTAATGTTAATTAATAAGACTAGGACAAAGAAAGGAGAATTAAGTAAGAAAATAAAATAAATTATTCGAAGTCATAATAATAAGTAAGATTGTCCTAAAAAGTGATATAGCCCTAGAGAAAAATATATATTTATGTATATACATTCCTTCGGGAAGTCTGAATGAAAATACTTTAAAAAATACAGTATCACCGAAGTGTTTCAAAACGCAATAATTGTTTGCGCACTTTCCTCCTTTTTGTATAAAATTTATTTTATCTCCTTTCTCATCTATAGTAGAAATTTTTGTCCTATTTTTTATTTATTACAAAAAATTATTATTCTCTTCATTTCCCAGCCTTTACACTGGAGGCATTTTTCTTCCTTCTTCACAATTATTCATTGCAATGGCCTAGGCCAGAGTATAACGGTCTTTGTTAAACTAAATGGCCTTCTTCTTCAAAGGTGAAGAAAAAGGAAAAAGAAAATTGAAAAAGAAATTATTATTGCCTAGGCAAAACCGAATGTAACGGCCTTTGTTACAATGAGTGGCCTATTTCTATCTTCTCTAGAGGGGAAGAAAAAGGAAGGATAGTTTGCCTCTCAGGCTTGGCTTTCTCTAAAGCCAAGCCATTCATTTTTCTTCCTTCTTCACATTTATTCATTTATTTTTATTCTTCATCAGGCCATTAATTTTGTCCTTTATTTATTATTTTTTTAACAATTTTATATTTCATTTTAATAAGTTGAAACTTTATTTATTATTTTTCAATATTAATTCTGATTCTATTCTATAGATTCTGATTTTTTTCAAATTTCATTCTGATTTTATTCTGATTTTTATTCTGTTTTTATTTATTTTAATTTCCAATTTGAGTTATTTTTAAATATTATTTATAAATATTTTAATCATTTATAATATTATTAAATATTTAGAAATCTTATCTACAACTAAATTATTTACAAGCAAATTCTGATCTTCGATTAATTCTAATTTAATTTTGAAACTACTTGGTTTTGGAATATTTAATTGGAATATTGTGCTTCGGCAATAAAGACTGTATTGAGGAGGTAAAATAAAAATTTAAAAGAAAAATGTAAAATATGAATTTTATTCTAAAATTTAAGTTTAACTTTATTAATATAGTTTTTATTTATATAACCTTTTTCAAAAATAAAAATAATAATTTTAAATATTAAATTAGAATTTTATCTACATCGTTTTACAAATTCTACTTAATCCGATTCTAATCTGATTATCCGATAGTTATGTCTAAATCTTCTTTTCTAGTCTAAGAGCTGATTTATTCAATTTAAGTTTATTCTTATCACTTCAGATTATAAATTTAACGTTTTAATTTCTATTAACTCCTTAAATTATTATATTTTTAATTTAAATGGTTCGGGATTGCCTAGGCAAGGTTAAAAACAATTTTCAAAATACTATTCTGAAACTTTAAAAAAATAAATGTTACTGGCTATTTTTGGGCATCTTAGAAAATTTAATGTCCGCAATTTTTATTTTGGAGATTTATAAATTAAAATTTTTCTTCTAATTTCTAGAAAGCTTAAAAAAATGGGCAATATTTTATATTTTTATCTAAAACTTCCGAATTGTCCAGGCAAGCTTAAAACCTATGTTTGGAAATTTTAATATAAAATTTTGGAAAATATGTGCTATCGGAGTAAAAATTTAATTCATTTTATTCAATTTCATGCAAATTTATTTTAAATTTGTTTCTATAATTTCTTGTTTCACTCATTTATGTTTAATTTTTCCTTCATTTTTAAAAGATTTGGAAATGAGTGTGAATATTTTTACTTTTCAATATTATTTATGTACAAATTATCTGAATTGCCCGGTCAGTCTAAAACCGATTTTTGTAACTTTTAATTTTAAATTGGAAAATAAATTTCAGGGTCTTGATTTTTCGGAAAACATGAAAATTAAAATTCTCTCAAATGTTCAGAAATTTTTTTTATTCCTCTCTTTTAAATTTTCTAGTTATGATTGAAAATTTTCTTCTAAATTTCTAAGATTTTGGAGTGAATAATATTTTTATCTAATTCTTTCTAAATACCCGAATTGCCTAGGCAAGAACAATTTTAGGATGAATTTTAGTTGTCACTTTAGTTTGGAAAATAAATTTAAATATAAAAATTAGATTAATTTGAGTAGTTACTCTATTTTTAAACTATTTCTTTACATTTCCTCTTTTTCCTCTATTTTGTTAATTATTTCAATTCTACTATTTTCAAGAGTTTAGTTTTATTCTGTAAATAGAAATTTAGAAATTTCAAAGAAATATTTTTAATGAAAATTTAGACACTAAAAATAAGCTGTTAAGATCTAATTCCCGTTTCCATTTCCTTAAAAAAAATTAAATTTAACTGTATTCTATTTGTTTAAATTGTTTCGGTTAATAATATTTCAGAATAAAATTAGCTCAGCCAATCAAATATTCTCTCTCTAAATCTCTCCCTTCATTATTACAGTATATGAGAGTAAAATTCCAAAGGGAAACTATGAATGCTTAGGCAAATAAGAATGAGTTGTTGGATAAACTAAAACAATCATACTCTGGATCGGCATCCTAGATAATAAAAATAATGGGAAATTAAAATAATTCTGGTTTTCTAAAATACACACTCTCATATACTGAATAATTCTAATTATACAGCCTTATATCTAGGTCAATCTTTTTTTTTACTTCTTCTTTCAAAGATTTAAACTAAATAAATAGAATTTGAGAGTGGAAATACAGACCGCTCTTTTGGGGAATTTTATAATTAAATTTATTTTGGCAACAATGATTTCAAATATTTATGTTTGCAACTTCTATTATCATTAATTAGTTTTGGAAAATTCAAGAATAAATATTGTAAAAATAATGTAATTTTTCTTCTTTCTCCTCTCTTTCTCCGACACCAGAATACTGTTTTCCACTCTAATAATTTCCTTATTTCTACTTTCTTTTTAAAGCATTCTAGAGTGAGAAAATTTCTGAAGTTTATGTTTTGTTTTTAACAAATTTTCTTTACTTGTTTGAAATTATAAGGTTAAGCTAAAACTTATTTTCTTCTTCTACAACTTAACTAAATATTCTTCAAACTTAACAATATTTTTAAATATAATGAAAAGGGAATTTTGAGAACATTTATTTTGATGTCCTTTATTAGTGTTACTTATTAAACTATTTATACAACGAAATATTATATAATTATATATATTTTTTTACTTTCTTTTTGGGTTACATTATTTATTACTCAAAATTTTTTTAACTTCCTTCTCTTCCTTTTCTCTTGAATAAAACATGAAATTTTAAACTCTTTTAGGGGTTGGATATATTATTTGTTGTATAATTCTAATGTATTATTTAATGTATTATATTAGCTAATGGATTATTTATATTCTAAAGTATTTTTAAAATACTCTAATATATTATTCAACTCTTATTTACGTTTGACTGCCTTTCATTCCTATTCGCTCATATCATCTCCTGATAAATATTTCTCTTTTTGAATCTACTACAATCTCTTTTCTTCTATCTCCTTACAGTATATGAGAGCGAATAGAAACTATATGTGCTTTGGCAATTAAGAATTCCTTTTTAATTTTTGAATAAATTTAATAGAGAAATTATGACAATTCCTGATTTTTCACAAGTATTTTTAGCTTGATTTTATAGCTCAAAATTAGATATTCTGCTTATTTATTATATAAATTTTATATTCTATTAACTTATACATATTTTGTCTAGGTGTATTTTTATACTACTCAAATCTAAAATTTACCAATTATTATACAAAAAAGGTTATATTTATAGGTTTACGTAATATTATCAGACATCATAAAGTTTATTTGGAACTTTGGAACCTAGTTATTTTCG